CGCTATACTTGTGAAAACGGATTCAAGCATATCACTAGAATATAATGGGTTTAATAGCATGAAGTTTGATGCATTGTATTTGGCGAGAAGGGTGGTGAGAGTTGGAATTAGGCATTGTGATCATTATGTAAATTCCAAATCACTTTCTCACTCCCACTCGGAAATAGGCATTGTGATTATTATGTAATTTCCGAGATAAAGAGGTTATGATCACGACCGACTACATGACTGGTTTAGGTTGATGTCGAAGGTTTTATACCGATGAGTGATGCTCTATAACGTTGATATATGACTTACTTCGTGCTCCGTCATATTTAACGGTAAATCGGGTCTCCCCCGTCATCTTCGGATGTCTTGACTCTCCCTCGTATTATTTATGACTCATTTTTCTATATATATAAATATCGTACGATACTACGTCATTATTTATATTTATATAGTGCATGTATATCGTTTTATTTTATTCGTGGGAATGATGGTGTAAGTTGGTGATAGGCATTGTGATTATTATGTAATCACCAAATCATCCTCTCACTTTCACTCGGTAATAGGCATTGTGATTAGTGTGTAATTACCGAGGTATATAGCTTAAGATCACGGCCGACTACATGACTGGTTTAGGTTGATGTCGATGGTATTAAACCTGTGAGTGATGCTCTATAAYGTTGATCTATGACTTACTTTGTGTCTGTCATAATCAACGGTAAATCGGGTCTCCCCCGTCATCTTCCGATGTTTTATTGTTCCACTTCGAGTTATTCAGGTCTTACTGTCTCTATTCCTATTTTAAGTTACGTCAACTATTTACATGTATATTTTTATGTATGTTCCTTTATGTTTACGTAAACTCTTTTATTTGGACTCACTAGGCGTAAGCCTAACCCTCTCTCTTTCTTGTTATAATTACTTTTTAGGTTCCTTTATCGGTGGGGCTCTATTTGGTTGAGAGGAGCGTTGGTTCGTGAAAGGCTCTTTTGTAAATATTAGCCTTGTTACTTTTGAACGTTGCGTTTTTGATGTTACGGCTTTTTGGAGATCGATAGAAATACCTGTCTTTAATCTAGAAAAATCTAGATTAGTAGGTTGTTATTTTTCTTCTCAGTAGCGGAATTGTAAACGCTATACTATTACTTTTGTTGGGTGAAATTTGTTTTTATCTAAGATTCTGGTTCTCGTTAGATATTTTCGGTTTAGACTATCTTTTTTTTAGGGTGTTACAGTATGAACCACAAGGGTGGTGCCTGATTGGTTTGAGCTTGGCTCCAAAGGTCAAAAGTATCAGGAGGTCCCAAGTTCAAATCCAAGGAGGAATAAAAATCCCCTTGTGGCCACGGAGGTTCAAATGCGGTGACTCCGGGCTATCTGCAAAGCAGGTGGTCGTCCTGGGATTAGTCGGCTCGCATAGCGGGTTGGATATTCAGGTTAATAAAAAAATTATGTAAAATACTAAATAAATAAATATATCATAATTATCGTCAATAGTATTGTAGTTACCTCTTCCACGTCATAATCATACTCAATAGTACGACAATATGATTCGGTCTCATCATAACAAGTTTCTATAAACAACATAATATAGTATCAATAAGAAAAATGATTAAAATATATAACTAAAAAAAATTTATAACTACAAATAAATATAAGGTTACCTCGTATTTCATTCAATAGTCAACTTTGAGCACACATTAGAGCTTCAAATGTTTTTGGATGAAGGCGACTACGATATGAGGTTACCAATCTTCCACCGATACTGAATCTAGATTCCGAGGCGATAATATAAATAGGAACGTATAATATGTCTCTAGCTATCCTTTGAAGTGTTGAGTATTTAAACCCAATTGTCTTCCACCAAAGTAGCAAGTCAAGCTCCTTGTCTTTAGACAAAAGTTTATCTTTCAAGTAATTTATCCAACTCTGTTATAGTACCCGAATCATCATGCTGGTTGGCAATTGAAGAAATATTTGATAAGAGTTTTTTAAATTCAACCCATTGACTTGCTGAAGACCCTGAGCTTAAAGAAGACGAACCACTAACACCTTCGTTGTTGTTTCTTACGAGGATCACTAAATTCATATTCTTGAAACAAAGTGTAGACCAATTCCTTGATCTTTTCAAGTTCAATCGGTGATTTTTCTTGTTCGTACAACACAGGAAAAAGTAACTCCACAAACTTCAATTTATACCGAGGATCTAAAACCACTGTCATTCCCATAATCCCATGTATAACAGACCAATACTTGTCAAACTTCAAAAGCATCTTTTTTGGCATGTTTATAATAACTTCACTAGGAGAACATAACCAATCAACCAAAGAATATATAATTTCACATACCGATGGAAAAAATACATTTGTAATGGGATATTTTGAACTAGAAAACATTACTGTTACCTAAGATTGCCAAAAAAACAAAAACTAAAGTTACCTCATATCAACAACACAAAATTATAGTTTAAATAAAAAATAGAGTTACCTCATAAAATAATTGCAATCCATCACAAATCTCTTTAGCAAACTTCTAATCCCGCTACGTTGACAAACTTGTATACTGAGACTCTCGTTGGTGTAAACGTTGAAAGACGTCTTTGTAAACTATAGTAGACTAATCATCAAATAAGTAGAGTTCCACTGAGTCTTGCAATCAAGTGCCAATTTCTTGGTGGATGATATTCCCAATTGACGAGTTACTTCCTCAAACTTTTGATCTCTTTTTGGCGATGCAGTTCAAAAGGCCACACTATCTCTAATCCTTTCAATCCCTTCCCCAAGAACAACCAATCCATCTTGAACTATCAAATTGAGAACGTGTGCACAACATTGCATGTGGAACAACCTCTCACCCATCATAAGTGAACTTATAGGAAGATTGTCCAACAATATGTTGATTATTGCATCATTTGTGGTGCAACTATCAACAATTAGTATGGACAGTTTTCTATCAAGATTCCAATCCAATAAATAATCATAAAGTACATCCGCAAGAACTTTGGATGTATGTGTACAAGGCACATAAATAAACTTGGTTCAACATTTGATACCTTAATAAGGCTAAAAATAATCTAACCAAATATATATATATATATATATATATATATATAGGGAGAAGATCAAATGTTAACCAATAATTTTGTGTTTACTTTGAAAACCATGGCAACCAATCAAATTCCATTCTTCTTGTAGGTTTATGTCATGTTCACATTTTAATTACAA